AAACTCCAGTAAAGTATAAGAGTACAATCTTCTTATGGAGACTTTTTTGGCTCACGGCGCGCACGCTGTCTGCGAAATAGGGCGCAAAAAACATTTTTTTGCAGATTCCAACGTAAGACGACGAAAATCTGCTCTTTAATATCCAACCCTCCTGGGAAAAAATCTCCGGCTTTTACTTGACAGGCAATTTTTTTGTGCTCATTCTTGAAGCATAAGAACTTTGTTCGGTATCCGCACGAAAGTGGCGCCAAACTTGTTGTCGTCGTTTAATATTCATTTAACTCGTGATGGCCTCGCAAAAATAAAAAGTTTTTATGAAAATGCAATTTACCTACATGCATTATTAAAAAGTTAAAACTTTTGTTACACACAGCACTTACCAAAACTGCATTATGAATTAACAAATTTTCTAAGTGGTTTTAAAATTTAAATACGACCACGAGTTTAATTCTTGGTTGCTACTCTTGAATAATTCAAATTTATCACCTTGTATAATTGCAAGAACGCATCTTTGTTTATACAATTCTCTGTTATCATTGTGTTTGAGTTCATTGTGAGCCGCTAAGACGCACGCAGGCCTTACAAATGTTTGCCATTTGAGACACACGCCGAAACGGCGTAGCTATGAATGGTGCGTTGCGTGGTGGCCCGACGCCCTGAATTCCACACCGTTATCCTGGGCGCGCGGAACCGCTTACGTATCGTATGTAAATTTGACAAGCACTCGAGCGTGCCGCACTCATCCATTAATAATTACAGGGGCACTGTCATTCGCAGCCGCAACCACCGCAAGCCCGAACAATCCGCTGCGCTTTGCGCACCCCCCAACCCCCAAAGGATGCGAAAAAGGAGCACGCAGGCACGTCGCAGCCTCTGCTTACTCACAGGAGCAGCGTTTCCTGCGTTTCCCGACGCGTCGGGAAATGTGCGGAAAAGGAAAGCAAGAAACCCGAGCAGCCAGCTACCTCCAAAATGAAATTGTCTCAATGACTCTCGGTGATCGCTTTCCTGCTGATAAAGCCGACTAAAGGCCACATGAATGCTTTAGAATATGTCAGGACTAATTCCATCCAACATTCATCCAGTTATCAATACTGAAACATATCTCGCTTTGAGTTGGCGCGAACTAGTTGAAATTCAATATTATTCATTCTTGAAATAATTCAACTTGAAATGGAGTATTCCCGACCCGCGAGGCATTACTATGCCGAAAATCAACAATCAAAAGAAGCAAGAATAACACAACTTGACGAATTTACATATAAAACGACTTTCCATGCTTTCCAACTTCAGAAAAGCCACCCAAAAGCTCAAGTAGCAACATTTCCATCGCAGGCTTCCACTTTCACACACACATATTCTTGGAACTCGAACATATGTCGTGAGGTGATAATTTATCTCTTCGAACAACATGTTCGTGTTTTTTAGGGCGACATTTTTCGACACTTCTAAAGCACACGGCTTTTTTATTCTCGTTAAAGCTCTTGCCATTTATCTCTTTTCGCCTGAAAGTGAACAAATATTTATCACGACTACACATAACACGCAAGTAAAATACCCATAAAGGACTAATATCACAGTTTAATATGCGGGGGTTGGGGTTGAACGAAACGTGCTCTAAATTATAGCTGAAGTTAAAGCTTAAAGCTAGAGACATAATGATCTTATTTCCTCGCACATAAAATAGTCAGCTTTTTAGTGGGAGACACGACGACTAGAAAGCTTTTAAAAGCTCAGTTATTAGTTTTTGTGCAAGCAGTGCACGATTCTAATTTTTTCCAGCCACGCGTGCGCTTTTACGTGTTTGCTTCATTATCTATGAACGTGTTTACTGTATAAACTGAGGGAAAATGATGAAAACACGCTTTTCCAATTTTTTTGTTTGCTTCGAAACGCGAGCTTTTTCATTCAACGCTTTTTTCATTATTGGACGGTCACCTGTCAGTTCACATATGTTGTGTGCTTCGCGCGTGGGCTGAATGGTTGCCCCAAAAAATGGGAATCACGAGTGAGTGGGCATTTGACCAGTCTTTTTCATAGTGTGGTGGAGTTTGATTATGCTTTATAACGATCGAGTGGAGAAAAATATAATTTACGTCGGTCAACAATGTTTTAATTTTGAAACTGCGCGCCAGAATCTAGAAAATCCACATCAAAACTGTAATCACGATCAATTTTATTGCGCTATTCAGTTTGTAATTGGCAATTCAGCTTTTATGTCATTTATAAAATCGTTTTTTTGTGAAAATTTTTAAACGAATTCGATCCAAGCCCTTTGATTAGGGTTGGCTTGGTGTTCATGCTGATGTAGTCTACCTGAATCGAGCATTATACATTTGGCAGCGAAATTATTTTGAGTACACATCTAGCACTTGTAGTGCCAGCTGGGGTAACATTTTCCGGCACAGAACGACGTCGATGTTGTCCATATCCGAGGCTCGTTAAGATTTCGCAAACACCTGCGTCGCGATTCCGTTTCTCGCCGGCGCTCAATTTGAATGCACGTTTTCCGTTCCGAAGGCGGCGGCTTCGTTTTCGACTTGCTAAAGAATACTCCTTCGACTTTTTCTTTTGGCTTCTTTTTGCATTTTTATTGCGACTTTTTAACGTTACGAGCCTACGGTGCGCCATATAATAAACATAATCATAAACATAAATTGAATGTTGCAGGCGTATCGGCTCCCCCTGGTGTGCAAAAACATGATTAATATTTTACATTCAAATTTTGACAATAATGATTTTTGGAAAATTAATATTCGCTCTTAAATTTTTATTATAATGATGACAAGAATCACACTTAATTTATGTTATCACAATATTTATTAAGATTGCTAGTTACAAAACTTTTTTCCATTGGAAAAGTTTATCAAGTAAACTTGTAGTAAATTTAAAGTTTGTTTCGTGTTATTTTATTCGCTAAATTGCACTCGTCATAAATCATTTGCATACAAACATGCGCAAGCAGCGTGTAGGTGGAAATGTTTATCGGGCGTTGGTGGGGCTGGTGCGGACGCTTCGAGAGCCCAGCGAAGATTTAAAATCAAATGTGACCCAGATTCGCCATTGCGCAACCATTACGCGCTCTATTTTCACGATTACTCCCCAACTCGGCAGGATTGCGTTCGGCGTGCTTGCTTACTCTCTCGAGTTTATCTCGAAACATCCTACTTCGAAACTACTCCTTGAACTACATCAACATAAATCAAGCATAATTAACTCACCCGTTGAACTTCAACACAGTTCTTGAAAAATTTTATCCTTAACGATAGATACATATAAGTCTATTGGAAATTGGTGATGCTTTAAGGATTCAGGATGAAGTTGGGTTGGGTGGCAGGTCGAGTTGGGTTAGTACTATTAACCAGCGCCATAGAGACGAGGAAAAGGCTAAGCGCTACAAAAACTCGTCACAAACGGCGGCTGAAAGGGTCATCTTGGCAGCCAAAGGGGATATTCGTGAAATTGAATTAACCCTAATTCGAAGGCCGCAAGACACAGCCGAATTTGGGGCCGGACTCGGGCGGTGGCAGCGCCTCTTAAGACACACGATCGATGACAATTAAGCAGTCTTGGCCCATGGCTGATGCGGCGCGTATGAATTGTTGCCGAATTTAATTGATGGGATCTCCGCTTCCGACTGCAGGGAGAGCTATCAACGCGGTGGGTGTCACTCGACTAATGAATTATTAATTTCCGATAGTAAGGCGATGCCAATTCAAGGTAGCGCCTGCTGAATGAGATATGGATAATGGAACATATTTGAATAGCTCTTGAAGGGAAACTGGGCCCTTCTGATAAGGAATATTATGGTGTTGATGATTGTCAAATTTTGGTAATCAATCTTGTTAACAAATTTCATTTAGCGATTTTATAATTTTCAAAAGACCTACATTTGTAACAAATTCTATATCTAACGACTGCATCGGAACACATTTTAACCGGAAGAATGCGGAAGTACGGCATGGAATGCCGAACGGCGAGTAAGCCGAGCGCAAAAAAGGCAAAGAGGAAAAGAAACGCACAAATCAACGATAAAAGATGAGCCGTCGCCCCAAACTCACTTATTGAGGATTTCATTCCCTCTTATATAATCCGATGTGCAAACACCTTATCCACTCCCCCGGAATGCTTGATACCTTTTTTTGCCTGGCCGCCTTGCTCGTTCATTCTTAACGCGCCAGTGGAGCGTCGTGGAATACACGACCGTTCGGCGACATCAACCACCAAGCCTCGGTATTCGTGCGGGGCTCTTGTGTTTGTTTAAAATTTTCATTCCGGCGTCGTTGTCGTGTTTGCACAAACGAAGCCGAATTCTCCAAATTCGATTACGCAAATTTCGTCTTGAAAAACCCGTTTGTTCTTGCATTAATTCAATTCTTCGCTAATGCTTTATTTCGCAGCCTTAGTTTAATTCGTTTTGTGATAAACCTCGTCTGGAAAAATGAATGAATGAGTGTAAACGCTTTGATCACGCTTTCGTCCGCATTGCGTTTGCTGCGGTGCTGCTTCTGTCCATTTGTCGCGACACCCATTAAAATTATAAAAACCGTTTTCCGCTACATTCTCGTTTATGCGGTTGCTCTCCTATTTACCTGTTTTTGTATAGTATGAAGTTGAATAGGTTGCTACTAATTAACGTAAAAGGCAGTGCAAAACCCGAGTGACTTCTGCCCTTTGTACTCAATATTTCGTTCTTTCGAGTCGTTTGTTAACTGCGTTTGCATCTATTGGCTCTTTGAACTCAAAGCGCGCAGCAAACCGCTGAAAGGACACAACAATTATAAATGCGGTTGCGATTGTATTAAAAGAGACTTTCATCCAAGAGCATACGGGGCGAGTTCTAACAAGAGTATGCCGTCGGCAAAGTATAACAAACACACTGAACACTTGGGCATATTTTTATTTCTGAATACCTAATCAGTTGTACGGAAGCATATATTTTAAAGAAAATTACTTTTTGCAAATCGTATTTTTATATCAGATTTCAAGGATTAACTTACTTTTAAAGTATCCCATGGCGCTGGTCCCCTCTCGCTGAATTCTCGTATTTCAACACTAATCTCACCTCTTACCGCAATCGTTTCATTCTTAATCTGACAGACGATTTGGGTGGAGGGTGTTTTTGCTCGTGTTGCGCTTGTAATCGTCGTGGTTCGCAATTATACGCTAATTTACATTGCTTTAATTAATAAGCAATCGCGTCGCAATATCACAACTCGCTTCATAATAGCCGGCTCACGCACGGCCGCTGTCCAAACCCGACGCAGATTTAATTTAACACAGTGACCCAGATTCGAATGCGTCGCCGTCACGCGGCGTCCTCGACCCACGTCGTCGTCGGTGCCACGGACGCAGGGCGCGCAAATATTTCGCCGACACTTTTTATCGCACCGTAATCCTTTTACTCGACTTAATCGCCAGTCTGCATGCACTTTCGGTTTTATATTCTAACGATTAAAGTCCGACATCAAATTTAAATTTACGAATTGCTAGTTGATTAATTATATCTACGATGAAATTGCTTTTTTTTAAACTAACTTCGTTTAATTTAATTGATAACGATGACGAACACACGATTTGCCTGGCAGTATAAGTCGTTTTTTTTTGTTTTTTTTTTTACAACACTAATAAATTTATCATATTTAAGAACACAAACAGTGTTTGTCACATTGAGTCATTTTGGATGATTTTTTTTTTCGTTCGTTCGTCAAGCGGTTGAGGGGATAGACTCGCCACCGCTGGCGCTGCCGCCACCTTCGATGAAAATCGCGGGTGTGCGCGCGCGATATGCCCGAACGGGTGTTCGTATCACGACTGCGGGCCGAGGTCAGTCCCGCGCGCTGCCGACTCTCGCTGAGGTGGCTTGAATGCGGGGGTGGCTTTGCCGCCGCCGACGGGCCGGCGAATCGATAGGCGCGAACTACGCATGCCTCGACGCGAGTCACATCTCCCTGCATCTCGCCTGCAGCAGGCCAGACGCGCGCTGCGAAGACTGCGGAGAGTAACTGCCGGCGATCGCCGCCAATGAATGCTAATTGATGATATTTTCGTGCGCGCTCAAATTGTCTTCGGGGTACAATCAACATCCGCAATTTGTTTTTATTGTGTTTTGAAATGGATTTTAAAGTCGTTAAATTTATAGTTCTTTTTTGCTTTTTGCACGAATCAAGCTAGTTCAAGCGTATAGTTGCAGACTGTCTCCTCTCATGTGTTATTTATTGCATGGTGGGATCGGACGGATGTCATCTCATGCCCGCGACTCGGTATTTACATTTCTCTGCAGCGCTCACAAAGCATACACAAATATTTACCCTCTTTATGGTGCAACGCACGCGAATGGAACGTTTCTCTTCTATATCGCTATATTTTTTGCAGTCGACGACTAGTTTTCCCTCATTCAAGGGGACATTTGCGTATCAATATTCCAAGCGAACTGAGCTCCGGGTTGTGTGTTGGCGTACCCTATATTGAAAACATGCATCGGAACATCGAAGTTTACTTACTTCGCTCGACTGCGCACGCGATTGGACCAGATTCGACAATGGCCATAACATCTTGGATTGTCTTCGAATTGTAGTTACGTGTTCTTCCTATCACCATCTTTTGTGCATGAATCTTCTTAACAAAGACACGTTTTAATAGTAGTGGTGCTCGTTTTGCTTATTTTGAACATTAAACTCCAGAGTGCGAGAACCGAGCGTTAATAGGTTTATTAAATAAATGCATCTGGGAAGTGTCAAAGTTTGCAGTATACCTGCAGCACGAAAGCAGCTTAAATCAAGTTAATGGAGCATTCTGAAAAAGTCATTATATTTAAAAGTTACTACTTACTGTAATGACCTGAATAGACACTATAGAAAAATAATTAGTTTAAAAGTTTCTTTATGAGCGATGCAAATTTAATTAAATTCAGTAATGTCACATCTCTTGACGAGCACTCCTACTTTGAAAGTAATGTTTGGTGTTAAATTGAAAAAAAAAAACTGGTCATGTTGTTGTCGAAAGTAATTTCAGCCGAATTTATGAGGTTACCGATATCGTTCTAACAGGAATGCGCTTTCAATTTGAGCGCGGCCAAGAGGGAACGTCGATACGAGCGAGTCGAGGGTTCGTAGCTCGGAAAATAGTAGAAAAGTAATTTCGCATTCATAAGCCGAATCGGCTGAATCATCTTCCGGCGTCATCGTGATCGAGCATCGCAATTTTATGTTTGCGCCGTGTCGCACGTAGGTGAAGCGCACGAAGGTAGGGGCTGGAATGTAAATGGCGAGGAAATATTTATTGTGGAAACTTTTCCACGTCACGGGCGCGTGTTTTTCTCCTCGCACTGGAATTTTTGTAATACATTGATGGATATGTTCGAAGCTGGATACTGAAAAACACATCGAGGTGAGTTCGGAATAAAAACATAAATCGTACAAGGACCTCAATGTTGAACTGCAATGTTTACAGCAAATTGCGCAAACTTGCAGGAATTTTAGTTGTTTGGAGCAACCGCGGTTTTAGAACATGAAATTTATTCTTTGTCTTCAAGATTTGTTTGTCAATCAGGTGTGATTTATACAGTTTTGTTTGTTGTGGGACATGTACTTGTGTTGCTTTGTTCATCTTTGCTTGAGTTTCATATCCATCTACAAGTTGTCTTTCTCAAAGCCTTTACCAAGAATTTCCGCCGATCATACCGGATTCGCTTGGCGTGTATGCAATTAAGTTCCTTAATTAGTATACGAAATACACGCCGCCTGCGACGATTTGCATTAAACACTTCAGCTTCCAGAAACGCTGCAACATTAATGGAATGCAACGTAATTTGCATTTGCTATGCATGTGCACCCAGCACGTCGTGCGCGGATCATACTTTGCATGCGTTGGATTTAAGATAAAGACATCGCTTACTTTGCTTAAAACCTGATAACGTGTAGCCATCAAACTGTTAATGTTTTTATCATACGTATTTTTATCAAAGCCAAAAAGAAAAATATTTATTCATCAATTTCCCGGTACATTCAATATATCCTATGCCCTCATATTTGCTCTATTGTATCATCCCTCCATTTGTTACGGCATTGTGTTGTATCCAATAGCCTGTGGATGTAACTAAACCCTAAGAACAAACACCTAATGTATACTCACGTTCCCCGCACGGATGAAATTCCGATATACATTTCTTTAACGGCCGTCGGCGGCTGATGAAAATGCGAGACGAGAAAGATGAACAAAACTTTATTACCTATCGCTGGATATCGGAAACTACTTTTACAGCAGCTCCATGCTATGGGTTTTTGCAAAAAAGGAATCGGAATTGGAAATTACGTGATTCCGCACAAATCACGTCGACCTGACGAAAACTATACGAATGTACTACATAATGTTCATATGATTTTATTCAACGGGTGTTTCTGAGGTCAATAATCGAGTCACTGTATTTATTTACTGACATTGCATTCGATATTTCTAGTGGTACTACAGTTGAGAAAATATTGACTGTTACTAGAAATTATTTAACGTTATAAATTTGACGCCTTCCGCTACTACCTTTTCCACTTTAGACCGGTGTTACACATTCACGTCAAGCCGGCGCGACATAATTCACCCATAAATAAGTCTTGCCATGTCCTTTTCAAGTCAAGGCAGCTGTGTCTCTTGTTCACGTTACATTTGTGTTTTAAAATATGTCGTTTCGTTATTACAGAATCTCATCAACTCTCAATCTCGTCGGCACCAAGAACCTGGTGGTGTAGCGATGAGCAGAAAGCGGAACAGCGTTAACGCAGCACCAGACATGGATCCGGTGCTGAATGAAGTCATCAAGAATTTCCCAGGCAGGAAGTCGCAAATTGAACAACTTTATAATCACTACGGCGACATCGACGAGTGCTACGTCGACGCGACCTACGTTCATGGTGGGCCCAGCACCGGCAAAACGACGATCGTCGTGACGCTTCTGCGAGCTCTCGGAGTCAAACACGCCGTGGTTAATTTAATTGAGTGCTATACGACGAAAATCCTCTTGGAATCTATCCTCAACCAGCTAGCCGAACACAAAGTGAGCCCCAACCATACCGCACCGTACGCAAAATGTGACAACATGATGGAGTTTGTCAAGAACGTGAAGAAGTACGCTGCAGAGAACGAGGACTTTATGCAGGCCGTCATCGTCTTGGACAATGCCGAAAAGGTACGAGACATGGAATTCAATCTTCTGCCGTGCTTCCAGCGTCTTCGCGAACTTACCGGGTTAAAATTATCGACAATTTTCATTTCCGAACTTGTATATCAGAAATTTTTTGTTAAGTTGACCGCGGGCGAAGTTATAAAAATCCACTTTTCGCAGTATAATAAGGATGAAATTTTAGAAATTCTTGCATTAGACTTTGATGACGCGAAGGAGTTTGTCGCGAATAATTCCAGTACAGTACTACCCATAGACTTAGATTTCTACAAAAACTATCTCAATGTGTTTCTGTCCGTTTTTTATCGTGCGTGTCGGGATTTCTCAGAGCTACGGTATATGGCGCGTATTAATTTTGTTAAATATATTGAACCGGTTATTAAAAACGAGTGCGCTATAACCGATTCGATGGCGTTGTGGCGACATATTGCGCCAACTTTGAAATCTTCTTTGGAGGTGCTCTATCTTCGGTTATCGGCCACAAAAACGAAGGCGGCGACTTTCTCGAAAGAAAATCTCGCCCAGTCACTCGAACTTCCTTACTACGCCAAGTATCTCCTAATCGCCGCGTACTTAGCCAGTTATAATCCGGCCAAAGATGATAAGCGTTTATTCATGAAGTTTCATGGCAAAAAGACGAAGAGTATGAGGGATGTGAAAGCCAAAAGTAAAGTCTCAGAGTGTCTGAACACTCAACTCGGTCCTAAGGCATTTTCATTCGATCGGTTATTGGCCATTTTCTACGCAATTCTTGACGAAAAAATTGGTTTCAACAACAACCTGCTGGTGCAAGTATCCAGCTTGGTAGAGTTGCAACTTTTGTCCGCTTTGTCAGATAATTTTAATTTAGATGGTCAAAAATATAAATGCACCGTGGGGTTTGACTTTGTTCAAACTATTTCAAAAATGGTAGGATTTAATATTCGCAAGTACTTGTCAGATTTCAGTCATATTTAAAAACATGTATTTTTATTTAATAAAGAATAATATCAATATTTGTATTCTTGGTTGTTCGTGAAAAAAGTAAACAAATAAAATATACCGATGAAGTGTTACTTTACAGCCTCCGGGGAGCAAACCGTATGATGATTTTGATGGGGAAATTTATGGGGTATTTTCAGCGCTTGGTTCACGTTTTCTATTTGCGCTGATGGCGAAATTATGTCATTAGGACATTCCGGGAGCTTTCGCCCGCCGATCGATGCCATTGTTCACGGCTCTTCGCCGCCGAATAGACGTGAATTACTGTCAGCTGCCGCCGGCGTGGAGCTTATTCGACGCTACGGTAACCTAAAGAGAGGAGCGCTCTTTCAATATCAAACTGCAAAATATACGCGTGTCACAAAAACTTTTAGGAATTTATGCAAATTACTTAAGTTGACTTGCCACAAATTCAATAAACGGTTCACTTATCAATCTATGCGGGAGGTTAAAGCACGCACAAACAATTTTTGAATATTTTATAGAAGTCAATTTAGCGAAGGTGTAGTAAGTTCTTGATTGAGAATTCAAATCGGAATTATTCTATTGCGCTCGTAGCTGCATGACTGCGTTATTGTGTTCAAAGTAGCTACCGCCGAGAAATTGGTCTGTTTATCTATGACCTTAGTAAACCTAAGAAATTCATCCACTATCATAAGTTTAGATATTGAAGGGTTTACGAATTTCAACTTGAATGGAGTCTGACTGGTGTAAGTAAATTTCCTTTTCTATTTTCCTTGACTTTGTTGATCAATAAAGGCTTGAAACTTTGTAAGCGGTATACATCATTGACCACGGACAAAATTTCAGTTTGCATTACATGAGGTGTTGCTTTGATTTCTTTTTAAACCAGTACTAATCTATATATTTTTATAGACGACATACAGAATTATATTTGTAATTCCACAATAAAAAATAATGTTTTAGTTTTTAACTAAACAATGATTAATTAAATATCTCTAAATACTATTTTTGTTGGGTTGTACTTTTTTAGATAATGCCTTTTTGTTCATTGCAAGACATTTGTAATGTTCCAATGCAATGTCTTTGGTATCAGGCGCTATCTTTTCACAACCTTTCGTAAATGCGTCGATATCTTTTTCAGTATGAAAAAGCATGTTGTATTGACGGACTAGCTCAGTATTTATTGTATAGTTAGATTGCTGAATGAATCCGTGTTCTTTGTAAATGCAGTCGACAAATTTTTTGAAGTTTGTGTCGTTCATATTATCACCGGTAAGTAAAATGTTCAGAAAGAACATGGTGTCCAGATTTGACTCATTTAAACATTTGTTTTGGACTTTTACCGTCTCCTCGAATGTTATAGCAGAGGATAACTATAATCACAAATTCGTGTATTACTTAATAATCTATTAAATAATTAAAATATTAATATTCATACCTGCGGAAGACTGAGAACTAAGATGAGACACAGAGATATTAGTATCATTTTGTTTCTGCTACACCCTTCTTGTGTAAAGAGAAGGCAACAACTAAAACTTAACTAATTTTGTTTATGTTGGCTGGGTTTGTTGGCTTTGTTGAGCAGTTCATTTGTAATCAAAGGCAAAAGGTTATCGTCTTTAGACGTTTTGTGCTTTATTTGTTTTAATTAATCTGTTTCGTAATACTACACACAGGATAGAGTATTAGCAGAAGCATTATTGATATTATTTATTCGGCCGAAAAACAGGATTTTTTTTAAATTGATTCCCATCAACAGGTATGGCAAACTTTTCTTTAAAATTTCTTTAATATTATCATAAATAACTTTTGTGATTAGCGAAGTAATGAGCTACAAAACTTGCATTTTTGGGTTGGCGGAATTTTGGCAGATATCAAAATATTGGCAGTCGCGTTGATGTTTTTAACTTACGAACATAGATTGTTGTCTCTCCAACTGTGGGTCGTTCTTGTTTAGTCCGGCTTAGTTGTTCGTGCATCGTAGTGTGGTGCACGTGTTTTGTTCATTAATCAAACTTTGTGACAATTGTTTGCGTTACTAAAGATTTTAATTCTGTAATTGAACTAGAATGTGACGACTTTTAGCAATAACAGACCAGTGTGGTGGTACGTCCTAGAGTACGTGGTGGCCGTGGCTGCTGTATATATCTGCGTTTCCGTTAGCAATCAGTTATCATTTTGCACATAAGAATAACTTGGATTTATAATTAATTCCGACAACTTTAATGCACAGAGCAAAAGTTTGTGAGTGCTCGAATGGAGTATGCAATATCTATAGTGTTTAAATTAAGTGTTGGTGATATTTTGGTTTGGTATATTTTAAGGCAAGTTTTTACTACTCCCGAATTTACAAACTGTCGATTTTTATTAAAAAAATGTATCTATTATTATTGTTGTCAATAAAACACAATGTAAAGTTATAATCTCATGCATATTTCTTTGTGGTATCCTCTTTGTTGTTTTCAGTATTGACGTTTTAAGCCATATTGCGTATAGATCTTATGCGCGTGGAGCGAGTGCAACATAGTTGTGTTATGTTGTTGTTTTCATAAAGTTGAATAATATAAAAACATAAATAGAAGAATCAAATATAAATGGTATAAACACTCGGTGGTCGAGTGGAGACGTGCACCTGCTGGCATGCTAGCAGGCACGGATCGAATCTCAGGTATAGAAGGCATTTTTCTCAAATATAAAAATATCAGGTGTAATTTGGGTTGCATATATGAATTGCAATGAAATATAAGAGAAATTGAAATACAAGTGAAGGCAATAAGAAAATTAAGAAAGTAAGTGGAGAAATAGGAGAAGTAGAAGGAGGAATAGCAGAGAAGAGTAAGAGTAGAAGACAGAAGGAAGAGAACAGAGTAGAGAAGAGGAGGAGATAGAAGAAAGAGCAACAACAGATCAGATTTTTAAATTTTTTGGCCCGTGTCGTTATAAGACAGTCACAGGTCGATCTCCCAGAGCGCCTCCGGCGCTCTGGTCGATCGCCCACTACCTCGATCCGTCCATTGCTCCCGGCCCATCCTACAGCTACGATGTCTCTGCGCTTCATCCCCGAAATTATCAGGCATATCAACAATTTTTATGGTGGGGGATCACCCCCAGAGAGAGGGAACTCCTTATAAGGACAATCCTTATAAGGTTTTGTAAAAATATTTCTAAGTTTTAAGAGGTGACACTTAAAAATATTCTTACAAGTTCTGACCTGTAGCTGAAATGAAAGAAGGAGCACACAAATCACACAGGATACCTTAACAATTTTTCAGTGGGTATCATCCCCTGAGAGAGGGAACTCTCGGCGAGACCTGTACCTGAAATGATAGATAGGGGTACATGCAAACCATAAGTCAAAATTCTTAACATTTCTTTATTAACAAATACAATTCGATACAATACAAGTTTAGATTTTTGATGGGAATTTTAGGGCACTTCCGGAAAGATTGGAAGGTTGAAGGGAATGCATCTTGTAGACGAACTCTCTAACTCTATTTGGGGGTATAAAAACTCTAGGAAAGTCAATTAGTTCACTAGATACAGGGTGTTTTCTACCCCATGTTTTCAAATTTTGCTAAAATTGCTTATTTTTGAAGGGCATTTTAGTACACTTCCGGAAAGACTGGAAGGTTGGAGGGTATGTATCGTGTAGACGAACTCTTTAACTTTATTTTGACATGGAGAAACTCTAAGAAAGTCAATTAGTTTACTAGATACAGGGCGTTTTCCACACCATATTTTCAAATTTTCCTAAGATTGTTAATTTTTTAAGAGCATTCTCCCGCCATCAAGTTGAAACAAGTTTTAAGTCCTACATAACTGCACGCACACGGACAAGTAAAATATTATAATCAGAATCAGAGAGGGTGAGTATTAATAGTAAGCAAAACGTAAACAGAGTACTGCACACTTGTATTGATTTGCAATGATTTTAATAAAGTATCGTTTTCGGAACGATAACTTATGAGGGTATAGCGTACTCGTACAGTACATTGTTTACTTTTTGCTTACTATTACTAGGAAATGGCATTTAAATTAAGGAAAACTAGTATACAGGGTGTCACCAAATGAAAATTCATGAAAGAAAACATTTGATTTCGACCGTTTTTGATACACAGGGCACTACAAAAACAAATATACAAGGTATTATAAAAGTTAAATTACTTCATCATAAAAGAAAATACTAAGTTCAAGAACACATTCGCAAATAACAAATTACTTTGATTCTTGATGGGATACTAACGAAAACGAATATACAGGTTATTACAAAAGAGATATTATTATATTTATACCTAAAGAAAATTCAACGTTCAACAAGAAACACCACCGTTAACAACAAGATTATTCAAGATTACATTCGAAAGTAAAGAGAAGTAGGTAAGTAAAATTCGATTCTTGATTAAGCGATCACACAACAAAAATACAACATTTTGTATTAAACAATAAACCGCTAGAAAAAAACTATTTGAAGTAATAGATAAAAAAATGAATTTTACTGCAATATTCAAATTTTTATTGCGATGCGTTCTCCACATACGCCACAAAAAAGACAAAATATGCCGACCAACGGTAGTACGAGTGTATCATTCACACATGTGGAAGTAAATTTAAGTCGCATCTCGTAAATATTTTTTGCACAATAATTAATTGTTAAATTAGTAAAACACATCAACACGACTGAAGAATTATGAAGTAAACACGCAGCCGACAGGACACGTAAATTAAAGATAAAAATATAATTATGAAGTTATAATGTTTACATACCTATTATTGTTACTGGTAACCAAAAAAAAAAAACTGAAACAGAAGTGTGTTAGAACTTGCACCACGCGGCACACTAGTCAAGTGTTTTCCGTCGTATAATGAATTTGCATTACAAGTGCTATTTTGACCGACAATATTCGGGAGAAATCCTGCCGAGAGCAGATGTTAAAACATATACTTACAATTATCAGTAGAATACATTCTTCTAGTTCCAATTCTGAGCATCGAAATAATCCAATAGCCGACGGACTAGTAACGCACAGGTTAAAACACTAGTGTTTCATTATCATTTCATGTGCAAATCATTGTTAGCAGAGCACTACACTACAGAGCACTATTGTTCTTAGGTGCCGATATTTAACCTGATTTTTATCAATTACAAGTAAAGCAATTAATTTAATAAAACTTAAGGAAAACACAATGTTGATCTACGCACAGATTGAAGCAGACTGAGACGTTCAAACGCTCGTCGCGCGATAGCACCATTGCCCTCGTTCAACCCGATAAAAAAGTTGTTTATACAAATATCCCGATAAGCGTGTCGAGTTGAAATTCAAAGTTAAGCATCTAAATAAAATGCAATATAATGTTGCAGATCAGTGATGCTCTCAATTCCCAATTTATAAGGTACTTTCAAGGATTTTCTTAGCCCTAAAACTTTTCGTCAACACGGCTCAAGCCGTGGTAGTTAGAGTCAGTTAGTTTGCATAGCCATAGCAAATGGGGTTGGCGGTTTGAGCGGTCCGGAGTGTTTTGAACATGATAACCGCAAAATCGTAATAGGATGCTGAATTTCGGCATGCAAAACTTAATACGAAGATGCAAAGCAAGCGATTAGACAAGCTAATGCTCAATTTTCGCTCGTTAACTACAATTAAAATAAATTGTTTGCAATTTTGCAATGAAAATACATAATAAAATAAAACAAGTGTATAAAAACAATACTTTATATATATTTAAAACAAATACATTTGCTCGTAATAGTTATTATTTATTCCAGCGTTTCGTTTTAATGAAAAACAAATACTACACATAGTTGAGCCATTGTTACATATCTTTTTATACGGATTGATCAAATCAATATATACATATATTTACTTGTGCATTACCATTTTGCAGTATGATTCTTAAAATAATAATTAAACTAAACTGAATATTTTTATATAATTCCAGACAATAAATTAATGATGTGTTGTATTCTTGGTTGTGTATATTGTTATTTGGTTTATTGTGCCATGTAATTTAAATAATGTACATAAAACCGTGAAACCAATATACCAAATAAAAACGTAATTCTAAAATTAGTTCTATTACAAACCATGATAATTTACAGACTAGTGCAGTGATTTGTGCTTTAGAATTACATCTGAGAATGTCTTAATATTTACATCACATTTTCTTATTGTCTATATATATTGATTCAAATAATTTCTCAAATATATTTGAAATCTTTGTCTATTTTAGACAATCGATTTCATTATTACAATGATTCGTTTCATTTGATGGATATAATATATATATACATGTTTATGTTTATAAAATTGATCACAGATTGTTTTGTTTATACAATTTCTTGTTACGCATATATATATTCTTCACTTCTTCCAGGCACAGTGTCATTTTATTATCTTCTTCGTATCCTGTTCTCGGCAAGAATGTTTATATTACACATTGCATTCACGTTACGTTCACATTAAAGCTGTTTCGAATTGCCATAAATATTTTCTTTATCCTAGGTCGAACGGCGCCTATAAATCCTCGCCTCATCTCGGGCAGAAATGAAAGTGCGGGAAGAGGTAGCAGTGCAATGACAAAAATCTGCAAACAAAAGAAAAAACAATTTTAATACTAGAGAAACACAAGAATTTTATACAAGATGCTTAATTTATATACAATTATATTGAAAGTGCACGTGTGCAGCAATTGCGGTACGCTTAAACAATAGACCCGCCGAAGGAGGAATGCAGGTGCGTTGTTATTGTCGTGCAATTAAAAGAATTTCGAAAAATAAAAGCAACAATTTTAAACGCAACTGCCGGCGCACCGCTTTGAATGTAATGCCACAAAACTTATATCGACCACATGCCTCAAATATTTTCGTATAACAAACGGAGTGCAGAAGTGAATCACAAAAGACTATAAAATCTGCACACATACCAAAACATATCACAAAATATTCGTTCTGATGCTTCTAATTACGCGATCAACAATACTGGCCACTCATCGATTTTCAATCATGAACACAAAATGGATAAAAACAATTAAAAAGCTATAACTGTTTGTATCAGACGCCAGAACACTCACCGATTAGTATCATATTTGGTATCGAAGCCATCGATCTTTACGACGTTCCACTCCTCCTTGTTCTTCGAGTAACTGAAGGAAATCTGTAATTAAAACAAAAATTTTAATTATAATTAAAGTATGTACGCTGTATACAAAAGGAGCGCAGCTAGAAATGCGAAGCATATTGTAAATAAACGCGAGTTCCTTTTATGTCATTAAAATGCACACAAATTAATTTAAAACAAGCGACATAATAAAAAGAATGATAAAAATGGTTGGGTAACCGTGTTGACACTAGCTGAGAACGTGCGAATTCATCTTTTGTTATTGCGTAATTAAAATGAAAATAAAAGAGAACGAAAATTTTAAAAGTGGACGAAAATTATTCTCTGTGCCAAGTGAGAGTTTATTGTGCAATTTGTTGAATTCGCATTTTTAAAGAATACATTAATGCATGACCTGTGGCGAATACATTGCGTCGCCACAATTATACCATGCCGAGGGGATGATGATAGCGTGCGCGCCTCGAATTTATGGTTTATTGTTGTTCGGCCAATTAACGCATCCGCCACATAGGGCGCGCCGCGCCCGCGTTGCGGTTTGCAATTTGCACATGAGCTCCTTTTTCGATACCGCAAATACGAATATGGCGCACTGTTAGCAAGTTAATCATAGCATTCGAGCGCATAACGTACCGTTAAAGAAGCGTGCTGCATGTTTAACGATATTCAAAGTTCGCGCGCGACCACTCACCGGGAACAAACCGTAAAAACAACCACGGGGCGCCATCAAAGCACGCCAAGTCATTTAAATTGTTAATACTATGCCTTGTCCGCTTCAGAATATATATTAATGTAAAATGGAAGCGTCTACGTTAATTAATGTTCAGTTAGCTAGTTAGCTGATTTAAAATTAGAAGCGTTCTATTATTTACCTGATCCTCAAGAATGTCACGTCGAATAAACTTCATCGGTTCCAAGTGGGAATGGAATTGGTCGACAACTGTCAGAGGTTTCTTCAGAAGATGTTCTGCAAACCGAATGAGAAATTGTTTTAGGCGATTGTTGCGATGTTGGAAGGCGTGGGTGCACAACGACACAATGCTAATAAATGCTGTTAAACAGTGTAATTGACGTTTCCTCAATTACGAGCACTTGATGGTGCTCGGTTACGCGCGACTTGCGCGGTCTGTCAGAGTGTAATGATCCCGTAAATTGTTAAGTAAACGACTCTTTTTTAATGCTTACCTATTATGTAGCCCATTGTGACATCGTCCGGCAGGCGAATTTTCTCTCCGATGCTGATAAATTTCCCACCACTGCAAACAAACATGATTCAAACTTTACTAAGCCTCATAATAACAAATATATTCAACTCAAACAAGAATTCTAATGACTTGCTTTTTGATGTTAATTATCGCCGACGAAGAAAGAAAAAAGTTCATTAGCGGCATTAGTTTATCGTTAATCCGGGCGTCGCGTTTCTGTTGCAAGATCTAGATCTGAATACCACAAAAATCAATTTGGTACCGATATTTCAGCCTCCATTTGACACACAACTAACAATTAAAAAGCGTTAGGAGCGCATTACGTTTGTATCGTTTCGAAATGCGGCTCATGCGTCGAAAACCCAAAATTAATGAACTCATTTACATATTAACGACTCATTAGCATTTTATTCCGACGCAGAATCATATTATTAAGAGTAAACGAACGCCGGCGTACATTCGACGACGATTACGACTTGTCTTGAAACTGCCGCGCAACTTATTCTTATGCTACGAGTATAATAAACGAGCAGAAATCGTAGGATGCGCGGAGAATCTTCACCAATGGCCACACGATTGGATTGTCATGAATGAATTCTAAAAACTTTAAGTGCGCACAATAAAAAATAAATAAAGTAAAAAAACACAACTTGACACGGCTGCAACCGCCTGTAGAACACTTAGTGGTACGCTGGATAATTGGGAAATGCAAATGCAAGAGGAAATGTATCCGATTTTAATTCGTAATAGTAAGAAATGGCATGGAATACAAATAAAAGTCGTTAATGGGATATTAAGTGCTGTTATTAATAGCAAATTTCTCGTGTAGTTCTTATAATCGCACCACGCTCGAGATTGTAATTGCGACTGAGCAGAAAACGAGCCGCACAAAGCTCGACGATAACGTCGATGTGCAGTAGCTTTAATTGCATAAGAGCGCACGCAATTATGAAAATAGTTTACAACTTGATTATTCCCGGTTATTCCTACTGTGATTCCGCTTCTTTGAATTAAAACAAACCGCCTTTCATGATAATTGATGGAGCGCTATTAAAATCTGTTGACAAGTTATAATTGGATTCTAAAGACTCTATACGAAGTAGTTATTTCGTAAAAGAGAGTTACATTGTTGTTTTCAATTGAAAAAAGTGTATGTTTTTCATCTAATCTTATTTTCTTGCGCTTCATTCGGTAGTAGTACATTTATAATTCACTATAATTTTTTATTTCGGATTCTTTTTTGCCCCGGGGGCTTCGCACCCGGGCATTATCTTGACTACGACTATGACCGGCGTTACAATTTTATTCCTGTAGTCTAGTTGGAAGTTAGTTGCCTTGGGATGCGTCCATCTGCCACCTGCCATCTCGACGCAAGCCATGCGTGTGCCTCTCGGCCAGGTTAACAACGCGTGCTTAGAGACCTTTTTTTCACCACCGTTTTTATACGCACACACATAGCACGTCTATCAAAAAATATGATGTGCGCGGGTGACGCGGGCTGAAATCGGTAAAAGTCGAAGGATGAAAGAGTGAATCAGCCCTGCATCTCGCAAGTCCACCACTCAGTCTTCTTCTCGTGTCAGATCCAATTTGGTTTAAGAATGTTTAATAATCATTCACGCACGCCACGCGATTGTTGGCTTGATAGCGCTTCAGCACGGGTTCTCTAGACTTTTTGTACAACTAGATAGATAGGTGCAGATATGTGGATGTGTAGATGAATACGACGAAGTAAGAAAAAAAAACTTGTTCGTTAATTAGGTCTACATTGTGTTGAGGTTGATTGGAAAACACCGAGGCGTTTCGTACAACGTGTCGTAACGTTACGTTGAGTTTCGTAGCTTCATAATAAAAGGCATTACAAAAAAATTAATATATTAATTTGTCAGCAAGCGAAAGTCTAAGGAACGAAAAGGTCAAGTAATTAACGTTTGAATGAGACGTTGCAGAATACTCTGTAAATTAATTTAATTAAAAATTTAAAAAAAAACGTAATTATTATTTTGATATCATAATTAAAATCCGAAAGTAAATCTTGTATGATACTAATAATAAATCAAATTTAATGCTGCATAAATTTTAAACGCGATTGTTTGTTGATTCAAAATTGTTTATCGGGATATTGATTAAACCTGTTGTTCTCGCATCGAAATTCCAATAAAATTACGGAATGCGAGCATGTGTAACCCGTTCATTAGCGCCGCTACCATTATTGAACGCTGATTCGCAGTCGTATTTTCAATTAAAACGAAAATACGACACGCCGACCGCGAAAAGCAGTTCGGCATTTATTGACCGAGGTCAGCAGGGAATATTTGTGCCGGTCCGAATTTGGTGCGCGAGCCACCTGAAACGCATTCGGTCTCTAATTGACAGCTGATTAGATGCAACCCCGAAAGCCATTAATTTTCTCCTCGTCTTAGCCCAGACGTGTTCCGTCTTGTGGCGAACAATGCCGGGAACACAACACGTTTATGGCGATTGTCGACGATAGTGTGCGCGCCCCGCACCGATTTCGACTGATGCCAACGACGAAAAAATCTAAAAAATGTCCCTATGTCCCCACTGATAAAAATTAACGAGTCGGGCGACGATCATAAAAGCAGGTACGAACGATCTGTGCGCGCCCCAACGACATGAGACACAAGACGCTTCGGAATCCAATTAGTGGACTTTGTTTTAAATAAACTTTTAATAGTTCGCGCTCGCTCCAAACCGCTTGTCGTGATTTCCACCCGAGCTGGCGATGTGGCGACACGACACGCATCTTGCATCTGCCGTTTAGCATTCTATATATCGGCCTTTAATTGCGACCATCGAGAGGACTTGCCATAAAACCCGCAACGAATATAATTAACCAAATGGAATTAAAAACTTAATAAGTTCATAGCGGAATTCGTATTTGGTCGACTTTGGTGGAGATTAACTATAATTATATTCGAGATTATAATATTGCGCTAGATTTTTAATTTTATTAGAAGACGTAGACACATCCGGAGGAATAATTATTGACTAAAATATATACAATTTTTTACTCTGCTAATTAACGGAATACTTTTTAATCTCTTAATTTAAAATGTTTATTGCAAAGAATGGAACTGGATCACACAAAATGACATGTGAAATATCTATTAACGTCAACTTATTCAGCAGGTTGTTAATGTTGCTTTAATGACTTTGAAGAATTCGATTCGTATCAGGATTGAAATTTAATTAATAAATTTCTTGAAATCTAATTTTGTCTCTGCCCGCTTCGAATATACCGAGTGAATGTAATAATTATTTTGTTATTTTAATTCTTTTACCTATAAAAATCAGTTTTAAAAAAATAAATGGTTCAAGTTTAGCTTGCTATACCTGCCTAGGGTGTTCTACTAAATTATGCGAGCTTTAATAAGCATGAATATTAATTAATTACGGCAATGTGCGTGGTGTGGGCATATGAAGCCTACACATCCTCCTCATATGCTCGCATATGGGTAGAAGAAGTAGTACAACTCACAGGCGACGTTTTTGCTCGGTTTACACGCATATGCTTAATTTTGTTGTGTCGGAGGTTTCATGAGTGAACGCCGGCGTCAGCACGAGTTCCTCGCTCCTAAATACAATGTTAGGTGTACATCAGGACGGTTTCCACCTTTGCTACCTTCCATTTCTGTTTATCGAAGTATGTGTGTACATACTTTAATAGGAAACATAAACGCCCAGTCATTAACATGCTCCGCAAAGGTTTCGCCGTGAATTAATCGTTTTCATTTATTACCGCGCATATAATCCGCGAACGTATTTCATTAACAGAATGCGCATAAATGTCAGGCGAAAGCTTGTAAATTGATTTCAATAGAGCCTGCACCCGCGAATTTGCAATTGAGCTGAAAGAATATAATCAAGATGAAAAATGTCACATCAAACTCCAATTATAATTAAAATACGCTCGTGCTCGAGCAAAGAGAAAATAGACGTAAATAATTGCGAGACTTTGCGTTTGGCAAATTGAGTTTCGAGATTAAGAGAAAAATGATTATTATCTATAATTGCATCGTTGAATCAGACTCGGCGAACGTGTTTATCATAAAAACAAGAACACAACTTGAGTTTCTCTTCAACCGCGTTTCATATTGCGATTGATATCGAGCGAGTAAAATCTATTGCACTGGTTGTACTAGGATTGACCAATAACTTGTAATTAGCGTATTGTGCGCGTTCATTGCGTTTCAATTACAGGCAATGCGGCAAGCCGATTGCATTATTTATTTGTGTTTTCCATTCATTATGGTTTTGATGTGGTCTATTTCTCAATTATATGCGCGGCTACACCTATCTGAAGGAAATTATTAGTGAATTGCAGCGGCAAAAATAGGTAAGTCGGAATATAAATTATCATAATTTATTACCGGCGTTCTGGCAACAATGTGCCGTATGAAATAATACAAAATCGGCGCGCATGTCCTGCGGATTCGCTACGTTCCTTGACATTTTGTAGTGCAACATATTTTTATCGCTAATCTCGGCATCTCTTTTCATAAGCGAAGCATTCGTAATAAAATCAAATGAAATAATGCAAACGAACGTAAAAGAGGCGTAGAATTCCGGACTAGCAACAATAAAGTTCAATGTGTATTTATATACCTACATAATAAGCAATAAATTTCTTATGTGATTACTCAAAGTTTATGTAGTAATATCGCTTTGTCTTTGTCTAAATGATCAACTAATTGGATCAATGTGTGTACGAAATTCTTGCGTGTTCATTAGTCGAAGGAACAATGCAGTCCTTGGGCAATCCGCCTAACAACAAGCGACGATTCTTTTGATCATCGCGTCTTTACATGTCGCGTCGTTACCGCAAATTTGCTCGCCTTCCCCCATAGTTCGGCGCATCATCCGGAGGATAATAGTTGGGATGTTAAATTAAAAGCGTGGCGGCGTTCGGTATTCGGTAATGAGGATCCGCGCCGAAAAAGCGCTTTTTGGATCGCGTCGCTAACGATCGCATCCCCTTGACTTCAACAGCCTCTTTGCGAGCGATGCCGCGATATCGGCCGCTTTGTGACATCGATCGAAATTTGGTTTTTATCCACCGGTCGATTACGATCACGAGATTGGGTGGAATTTTAACAGGCTCATTGGAAACAAGGAGCAAAATAAAAATAAAAAAACCAAACCGCCAAAGTAAAATAATACACGGAATTTTGTAGAATGTGATGAAAAAACTGGTGAAGAAGATGATTCGTTATTGGCGATCGTTATATTTGTTATGTTATGCGTTAATTGGAACGTGAAACGAAACAAAACACAATGCGGCGGTGGGCGATATATTTTCGGGCGGAAAGCCGCGCTTTTCGGAAGAGCAAACGTGTAAGTGGCGTATGTTAACATAGTAGAATATTTTGCATACCTGGCAACCGGCATCATTTTTAATGCCAACGCTCGACTCAAGCAGAATCCGGCGCCTCCTGTGGCGAACCAAAACTTCACCTTTTGCTGCAACAAATAAGTACACAATGATTAAATACCGTGGGCGATGCGCACAACGAGATAAATGCTCAATTAGGACTTCGCACGAATCACAGCCATGAGTAAAAAGGACCTTCATTAAAAACTAATATCTCTCTACGGGCATCATCATTCCTTGCAAATGTGCTGAGTATTAATATTCATATATTTTAAACTTTTAATAAACCTCCCAACAAAAACTTCTAACACTAAAAAAATGGATCTAGAATTAATCGATGCTTTTTATACGTCGAGATAAAACTATTACTTTGTCGCCGAGGCTGGTAAGCACACTATAAAAAAGACATTACAATAAAAAGTGAGATAAAGCGTCGACTTTATGAACATCATGAATATGTATTAATTTCGTCGTGCCGGAATATATTTCCTTGCTTCTTCTTGGCGATGATAATAATTGAGACATTTAGAAAAAGCTCTCTGAAAACCGGGCTTCACTTTTTTTAATCGCCTTTCGCCGTTTTGTTCTTGCGACGCAAAGACAACGATAGCCTGTCTCGAAATTATTCGATTTCAATTTGAGCGGCGGCTAATTTATTTAATAATAACTTAACCGTGCGCGAAGCTTTAACTGCTCGGGACCGGTCGAAAAAACAGCTACACGAAGCGGATGGGTCGTCGCTGAAGCGCGCTTTAGTCCGCTTAATGTCAACCCCTCCGTTTTACCTTTTGTACGTACAAAAGAAGTTAACTTCATGTATAATTCATTGCATTAGTCCGGGGTCGCGTCTAATTAAAACGGAAATACTGTTGGAACAGATTTGAGCGTGATGGCAATGCGAATTTTGGAGCGTGTCAGAGACGCACCAGATGAGAAAAATTAATACGTATAAAACAAGCTGAAGCAGGAAGGACATAAATTAAGACACTTTACGACCTGCACTAAGTACGCATTAAAAATGCAAGCGTTTAGGACACATTTAAGCGGACCTAAACATCATACTCCATTGTTAATTACATTTGCCATGATTGCGTTTTGTTTTGATGCGATGATTCAATCATGCGAGTTTTCTTGCGCATCGAAGCGCAAAGCAAAAAAAGGCTCGCGTGCCGTTTATAACTAACTCGAGCAGCTATAGAAAATCTCAATCGATAAACCGTTTATGAGTTAATCCTTAACCTTCGCAACTGCTGTCGATGATACTAAACAAAAGCAAAACATTACAAAAATTACGAAACCTGTGCGAGCTCGTGCGCCAACTTGCTCATAAATAATAACAGCTTCCATCTGGTGAATCTACTAGGTGTTAGTTGTAAGTTGTACAAGTCTGGCTAGCTCGTTAGCTGATGATGAAAAAAAAATATGCGCATTTGAGGCACCAGCCGCCCGTGGGCTGAAATAAACCGCGCACTTCCTAATTGCCCGCTCGCGACCCGGGTCGCGCGATGCGTTACCTCGGGCGCAACGACGAGGAAATTTAATTTGCAACCATAATTGTAAATAACTTATTCAAATACACACGCATGTGGTGGCTGCCGCGAGGTGAATTGCTGGCTGGCGTCGCGAGCTCTCGTTTATTGCGGTGCGCTTTTCCAAGCCACGCAAATACCCGCCGGCCTCGAGGTGGAATTCTTCCTTATCAGGCCTTACAGCTTTCTTCCTAGTCTACTCTGGATACATACAATACACATGCGCACGGCTTACAGCGTACACCGAACACCGCGAGCATTATAATGGCATTTTAATTTTTACCAGCGCACAAAATGAGTACTCGAGCAGTTTCTATTAAAGTTTAGCGCATAAGGACGCCGGTCGGGTATTAAAATTGACAAATAGACGATCGCCTTTTAGGTTTGCAACTAATTTCCAGCAACAAGTGGTTTTGAAATCGTTTTCAATTAGTTTACATGAAAAATTATCCACAACTTCTTTGAGAGTATTTTAATGTAGCATTTTTTTTTTCACCGGAGATTGCTGTTTTTGTTCCGTTCGTTCTTTGCGTGATTGTTTGAACAAGTTGCATAATGCAGTTTACTTGTAACTTGTTACTGTTTGCCCTCCACACACTGTTGTGCGCGGTGTTTGTCAACGACGTGTGTCGCTCGAGTATTCTTCAGCCGAGAAACGCTTTTCCTTCGGCGTGCATTCGACATGCACTTCTTCTCCGCATTTCTAATAGCCCCCACATACGATCACTCCAACAAGTAGGCAACACACATCACTTTTTAAAGCTTTTTTGATCATGTGTGGGAGCTATTAGACGCATGCACGCAACTCGTGCGACTCGATGAAATATTAATGCAGGAAATGGATTCGCCACTTTTGCACGTAGAAACTGCCGATGTCATCCAGGCATAGGTGGCATTGACTGAAATAAAACATCCAGCACATTTCGTATGAATTCAGACCACATAGGTGTGTACCGTTGGACGCTCCGCGGAAAGACTAAGATCCGTGCGGACTAGTACATGTTTTCATACACGTTCATAAATCTGAATAATAATCACCGGCATTGGAAGCTGCGCGCTGATGCTGGCGTTTGAACACGGACAGATCATGAGGCGTGTAAGAAATATGCGGTGCGAGCGTGTGCCGTGTGCTCCGTTTCAATAAAGAACAACATTTAATACCGACTGTTTGCATGATTGCAATAAACACTTCAGAGCGGCACACGGGCCACACGACAACATCAGGAACGGGCAGTTTGTTGTGGAAAGGTCGTGACTTGATCGCCTTTCTAATTTCTGCGCACATACTCTACGAGCCTGCTGTGCTATTGATAAGCTCACCGAGATGGACACATATAGCGTGCTGCTCACAAGGCGTGGCATCTACTACTTGCGTATTTTTCTCAATTTTATTCTTGCATTTCATTTCGAATCTATGCGCGTACCTACATTGTAAGCATAGCAGAGACTCGGAAGATATTCTCTCGGACCCACCTTGTGGTCTGGTTACGGGTCATTTCGCCCGTCGGCTTTGGACGCACAGCGCGCCGAGCGCGAGTTACACACCGGCGTTTCGAAAATGACAGGATTTATGAGCGCCGGCCGTCTTGTAACGCTAGCTGCGGGTGGTTGCTATCAGATAAGGAACTGGAGAAAACAGAAGACGACTGGTAAAAACCGCGCGGTATTCATATTTCGATATGAATGCAACTGCAGAGGAGCGACGCTGATTAAAGAGGAAGCCGAGCCTCGCTGCGTTTGTTTTTTTTTATTCGAAAGCATGCCTTTTGTTGTCAAATTGAGTGGAACGGTAAATCCCGCGAGGAGTCCAGGCGATGACCAGTGAATTAAAAATTACACACGGTATAATCGTAATATATGATCGGAATTATGTATGAGGCGATGGACACTGTTGAGCATATCAACAACCGAAACATGTTATTAGTTCTACAACATTTAATTTATCCATACCTTCAGGATATTAATTTACACCACAGGTGTAGAGAATCATAAATTCCTTACTTTTCTAACAAAAATTATGGAATCCAAGCAGTTTGCAATGTGCCGATAAATACCCGGAGTGAATGTTAATGAGTGTGATTGAAGCCATCTGAGAGCCAATGCGATGGTTGTTGTTTGGAACGCTCCATGCGTGCGGCAAATACGTTTTGCAACCATATTGTATTCCCCGATTTAATTTTTAATTAAAACAACCACACTCTGCGGCTTCCCGACGCGACGCGCCATGCAATCCACACGGTTTTCAAAATGCGGCGTAAAAGCGCGCGCGTTCAGTGAGCATTGTCTCGTGACGCACACACGTACCGAGATTCCCGTGAGAAATAATTCAGCTAAAATTGCACCAATGAAAAAAACAACAACGATCGTCCCGGCCACGACCACCGCAATACCATCGGCGGGGGACACCTCTGCACAACCGAAATGCATTTAACCTGGGTCCAGCTTTTCACGCTTCGCCACTGACCGCAAATCGCAATTGAAGCTAAATAAATCAACCACGAAGTCATAAAACTTTTAATTCAAAAATCACTTTTTCTCGAGGAATATGAAAATTGAACTGCGGTTTGGAATAAGATTCAATACAGTCCATGAAAGAAATACTATTCCTATATATATTCCTATATATTAATATTCGATTTTAAAGCTGTGTAATTTAATATTGAACTTTATAATAATAATATTTACCCGGATTGGGTTCCTGGTAGAACGCAGGTAAAATATAAACATTTACGTTTTGAAAGAATAATATTTTATTTGTAAATTTAAAATTCCATTCCGCATCGCATATTTGCTTAGGACGCTGGGTATCTGTGTGGACCAAGTCGCGAAGCTCACCGAGAGAGCCACTATTGTTGACACATCATATTAAAAGAACCAGATTAGGTTTCACCTTAGATTTCAGCCCTCGGCCTAGTACCACTTACTGTGCTCATTATGCAAAACATTGGCATTGGACAATATGCTCGTAAACATTTAAATAGGCGTGGAATTTTATCGAAGACGCGTAAATTCAATCCCGACGACAATCTTTGCGTTTATGCGAGACCACAGGCAGGAGAGAGGAGCTCGTTGTCATAAACAACACATTTTATAAGAGATAACGCGTGCATTTGCACTCGCGAGTTGAATTATAAGTGCAGCGGCGGCGATTCTCGCCGAGCGTACATAAACAACGAGTGCGCTTGATCTTCTGATTAACGAGTAGCAAGCCGATAGCGGATGCAGAATCCGGAACGGGTCGTAACGTTTTTAAAGACGTTAAAGGAATTGGGTTCGGTCGGGTCCAGCGACATCGAGGAGTCGATCGAGTGGAAAGCGGCGTTGGCATTACAATAAAACTTGCACGGGGGCGCAACTTTTGGCAGGAAGCCAGCAAAGAGCAAAAATTACAATATTTTTAAACCAATATCAAGAATAGTGTTATAGTGAAATTTCGGAAAATTGACACCAGAAATTATGAACACTTTCAAGTGTAGTGTTGGCATTTCAAAAGTAATTTTTCAAACAGTACGTAATAAATCAGTACCGGACTACCGTAGTAGAACGAAAGCGGCACGGTGCGCACGAGCGAAATAAATTTCGTGGGCAGCGCCCGTCCGCGCCACTCAACCGTGCAGATGCGAGGAGAGCGTTTTCTTCAACTCTCCGCGCCGATCCGTCCAAGCGAACGAATATTCCGAACGTAAAATATCACGTCGAACTGTCACGGATTTTATAATATACACCAGGCATGATTTTAAATAGCGCGACCGTACGCCGCGCCGCGCCAGAAGGAAATGCAATAAGTTTGCATCTCGCAGCAAGATATGTGCATTGGAGAATGTGCGAGATGATCACAAAGCGTAACGATAGTAAGGAAATGGGCGCAGCCCGCTTATTATATCGCACGGTGCACTTATTATTAAAACACGATGGCGAGTGTGTCTACCATCGCATTCTTCATTATTTTCTTCGTCGCGACTTTAGAATATATAAGAAAATTGCTCTCTACCGGGAGGGAGAGATGTGCGTTGCTGATGCTACCATATGCTGCAGTAAATTAAAGTCTTACATGTTTACGAATAGCGAGATAAATCCTGAAATTAATTTAGATCTTAGCTTAATTTTTTTTACTTTTAATTTATTACAGATAAGCTGCGCTTGTGAACACGAAAGAAATGGGAATTTTTAATATTCGAATAAAATAAGCTCGTTTTCATGCTAGTTTTGAATTTAATGCACCTTTCTTGTAGTTTATTTCAACTTTTCTTCTTCGAGCACAATAAAAAGTAATTAAAGTTGTTCAACGAATTCAGGTTTCGTTTAGATAAAGAATTTGTTTATAACGTGCTTGAAGAAAATTAATTCACTAATAAAACTTTTAAAACTGTGTAAATTATGAATTAGCCTTTATTGTAAAAAACAAATATGTTGTATGAAATAATAATTAAAACTTTTTTCGCATTATGAAGGACCTAAGCCCAGAAAAAATAAATTTGTTCAAAATTTCACTCCTGCACGTATTGCATAATATTTTATTTAATAATAAATCATAAGGTGTCAATTTGGAATGCCCGTATTTGGTCATTTTATGTATTAAATGTGTTTCAAAGCATTAAACAATTTCCATTCGAACAAAGTGCGTTCGCACTATCCCACTAACCGCTACGGGTATCGAGGAAACTACTTACGACCACAATGGTCGGAATGGGCCTAAGCAAAACGAATTCAAAAACGAATCGTAAATCTAGTCTTTTATCGATATCTTCGCAGCGTAGCACACCGCGTAAATGAATGTCACGCTTCGTTACATCGCCTTTACACGCTTCTTATGCGCTCGGACGGCGTTGGGCCGAACATAAAGCACTCACTTAATCAATAGAAATAATTAAAACGTGCAGACTACTGCCCACTTAAGCAAACTGTACGCCTTGCAAATTATTATAGCCCTTTTCATCATTAAACCATCATAAATCAAAAGAAGATAGTATTTAAATCTGAGAGAAATTGATGATATTACGACTTCAACCGATTGAAATTGCCATAAATTTACACATAAAGTTGATAAATCACGTTATCCACTTTCCACGATACCCGTATAAAGTAATATGGTTGGTCCGTGTAACAAATATTGTGCTTATTTGTCGCGACCATGCTGCGATGCTGGTGCAATGGAATGGACAGGAAACAACCTATTAAGCAGGGTAATAATTTTTATTCAACTTAATGTCGCTTAATGGATAAGTCTGTAAGTCAATATCAAAACACATACACGCATCGTATGCACCATGCGAAATAAACGCAAATTTAACTAACACACAAAAGTGCTTAAACGACATTTTACGTATGTAAATTTTGCATAAATGCAATATGGCTTTGTGAATGTGTATTTACGAGTGGCAAGAGAATGCAAAGAAATAAAAGCAGCGGGCAGCAGGTGTTACTGCATAAACTTAGATAAATTACGATTCGGATTGTGACTTAACGAATATATAGTAGAAATATTATTAAATTCAACTGAAAATTTCGATTCATTTTACATTTTCGTTCGTTTCTGATCATAAACAATTAATTGAAAAGTGATTGATATGTGACATTCCATTGCATTTATCAAAATGTACAAAATATTGATTAAACCACATTCTGCGTGGTAACACACCGATAAACATTTAATTGATTAAATATTTCTATATGGAACTTGATTTCCTGGCGCAGAATTGTTTTCGATTTACATTTCCTGCGACAACGGGCGCATTGTTGAACGCGTCGGTTTTGCACTGATGTGAGATAAATATTTTATTGATGGAAAATTCTCCATCTCTGACTGCTTATCGGTTTCTTCGTTTACGTGCGTATAAACTTGGATGTTTACGTGCACAAATGCACACAATGCCTAAGAGATGATACTGTTTGCCTAATGTAGCAACCTTCGCGGATAGCTCGCTTGGCTGCATTTACAACAGCGCGCGGTGTTTATAGATAGCTGCATCTTAAAGTTTTTGATTAAATTCCTATCGAATTTCTGTGTGATTCACGTCTAATGCCTACACAGTAAATGGGAAACTATCGGGCGTGCTTATTTCAGTAGTGTATTCGCATAATTGGATAATATTACATTAGATGCAATGGAAAATTGAGATTGGATATTTAAAATAAGAAAAATATAAATTGTTTACTATTATTGAAGTGGAAATGTACTCACCGGCGATTTTTCTCTATTGGTAATCTCCAGCGGTGCTTGGATGCTGGTTTTGCCTAGATACCAATCTTCTCTTGGGCTATAATCCCCTAGAAAACGGACTAAACGGGGCACGTTCACATAATTGTCGTCGTCGAAGTGACAAAACCACCTGAAACAATATTAAACATTTTATAATCCACCATAAATTAAAGAGAAAACGTAAAAAATCGCAAAAAAATATTCGATTATTTAAACACAGTACAGTTACAGGTGATAATAATGTCGGTACCATAACCTGTTGTGGTGTAGTGATTAGAAAAACATCTCTATTCCGCAAATGTGCGTAGTCATTACATGTTGAATCGAATCGCGTCCCCACGTCGACTCCACTCTTAATCCGCACACACGGAAATGTTAATTACGTGTGTCTGATGAACAGAGCCGAATACAACAAAACCGACGTCTACCTGCGGCGTGGCGGCGTCGTCGCGAATGCACGCGCGTAGACAATTCGAAAATCAAACGCGATATAAATCACACACACACATACCACTATCACCACAACCCCACAGTTTGCATTTCGCTGCCTCACTGTGCGTGTTGAATATTGTGCGCGGTGTATGCACGCAGTTAATTGGTAACCCGCAGCGAGACGTAATTTACATTTATTTGTTTACAACGAGTAACGACGCTCCGCTTCCAGGACGGTCTTAATCCCTGCTGATGTCCGACATGCACGAAGGGCAGCCGCGAAGCGCTGTTGGTAGCTCGTTAAGAGACGACTTGTGGATGGAATGATTGAAGAGCGGCAATAAGAGTCAGGGAGTGCGTTGCGATAGATTGATTGCCAATACCAATAGCAATAACAGGATTGTGATTAAATTTAATTTATAAAAGTCAGCCAGTCAGCGCTGAATGCGGTTGCTTCCAGAAACGTAAAACGTAACGTAATTAATTGTACTTGCAATCGAAACCAAAGCAATCTTGTCAAGTCCGATCACCGACTGCATGTATATTTATTTACTAGATGTTAACCTGCGCTGGTGCAGTACGAGAGCAACATCATCAATCAGTAATTCGGGCATGTTATATCAAATATTTGGTGTGCGGTCATTAATAAAAGCCAAATGGGCATTCGTTAATTAATTTAACGGTTTCGATCAATTTATTGGGAAATCATTTATTGCGCACTCGTCTCTGCTGCGGCAGAGAGATTAAATTATAGTTAGGCGATTTAAGCGCGCAGAGCGTGCAAACACGTTCACGGATATTTGTATGTCATGTCAGACTATAATTCGATTAATTTCAACTTCGAGACAGGCGGCAGCGGCGACCGCGCCCAAGACTTTCTTTGCGTTCATATTTTAATGCTAGCTCTTAATGAGAGAGCAACTTATAATCACCAGGTTAATACAGGTCGAAATCAACAGGATGTTTGACATCGTTTCATCATCAGAAAACAGCTTCTAGGATAGGTGCAGTTAACTTAAACCAGAACATTTTTGCTTAGACTTTAAGACATCTCACATCAACGTTTCAAGTTTAACCCGAATACCCCCTGGCACGATGCAAGTGGACGAGTGGACGCCGTGGTCGTCGAGAAAAATCATAAACGCATGCCCACATCTAGAACGGGCGCGCGCGCGAGCACTACTCTCGCAGGATGTAATTAATACTCGTCCTGCTGCCGGCGTGCCGCCAGCGCGCGAGCCCACAGAAGTACAGCGTAGGCCGACACTCGATTTATTATTGATCCGCACACTGTGTTTATGCTCGCAAGTTACTTTTTTTCTTTCAATTTTAAGTCTGTGTTTCAATGCCCGGCGACTATATCATTACCGACGAGATTCGCATCAATTGCGCGCACTCGAGTAATTTAATATGCAACGCGTCTTAATAATCATAATCGGCGTACCTGTAGAGAGAGAATCGCATTGCAGGAAAGACTCGCCCTGCGATATTTACTTTATGGCGCAACAAGTCAAGTCGGAGTAAACGAAGCATTTGCGCAAAAGTTTATAAAGTCATTCATTCAGGTGGATTTACGCCAGAAGCAACATAAATAATGCGCCGCAAAAAAAAATGATATCGTTCCAAGAAGAAGTTAAGAATGTTGATGCAGGAGCACAGGACGCGTTCGCCTAGGTCTGTAATATTCAGACCGTGGCTGCTGGCAAGACGATAATTACCGATGATGACAGGCCATGAGGTCAGCACTAGACGCAGGCGGACGGCGAGATTTATACGACGTCGGACTTCCTATATATATCACCGACGAAAAGCCATTAATTTCAATTATAATTGTAATAAATTCAACGTCCGATGTGCCGCTTGGTTTTCCGCTTTTTGCCCGCGCGCGACTGCTATCTGGTCGCTTTGCCGTCATCAAAGCGAACGCAATTGATTTCATTCCATATTCGTGTTTATACGAGTGCGGCCCGCAGGCACGACGTATCTGGACGATGCTCGATTTTAACTAATTAAATTCCTTCCGGTGCCTTCTCTTCCGCTAGTGACGTTTGTAATTAGTTTTCTAATTTAACTAGATCTCTAACTACGCATACAAACTTTTTTATTGTTTTTTATGTTATTTTGATCAAACAGGAAATTGCGTCATAAAAAAATGACTCGCCAATATCCATTTTCTCCTCAGTTCACGCTGTTTTAGTTGCTTGTTATTATGATTATTATTGCGCACGTTCGTGAGCGCTGATGAACGATTAACGAGGAGTCGAGCAGCCAACGCGGTCGACCTATAAAGCATTTTTAAATTAACAGAAGCAATTAAAACGAAGAACGTGAAGGCGAGATACAAAACGGCGTAGTCGGTAGACTAAAAAAACAAGACGAAAATCAAAAACGCCCACTTGCCACCGTGAAAACTGTAAATTACTCGGCGACTCGCTCGGACTTGAAGAGCAGACCTCGCGTATAAATCGCGGCGTTTCGTTTCGATCCGATGACCAGCAACCGAAGAGAAGAAAAAAGTGCCGCGCGCCGGTCGAGCATGTAGACCCGCTGTGCGCGTCTTTTTCATAACACACCCGAACTCGATAAAACAAGAAGGCAATCATCCACGCCTTATTAATCTCGATGAATGCGAGAGTTGCACGCCGCAAAACAAAAATACTCAATTACGCCGAGCTGATACCAGCGATGGTCGACTGGCAGGTTAAAGCTACCAGTTACCATTTGCGAGATTTGACCACACTTTTATTGGTCCACCGAGGGAGATTTATTTTCGTTAGCCGCACCCGCACGAAACATCCGATTCAAACTCACAGCCATTCACACACACACACACACAAATAATGCTATCGAAAGTGGCGAAGACTTGAAATGCTTGAAAGTCTCAAAGGATTCGCGCGATCAGAAAATTACCGAAGCGGGACGGGCGAACGTGCGCGCGGCACGAATTTAAAGGCATGCGTAAACTGATTAGATACTGGAAGTCTTATTAATTAATAAGGCGCGGCGGTGCGCCAAGAGAAGCAGCGAAAACCATTCAAGCAGCAACGTCGTCAGCACGTAAGCCGAGCTTTTCGGTGCCTCTTATTGAAAAGGGCGCATTCAGTAACAAGTCAAAGACCAAAGCAAGCAGTGCTTATCCTTTCAACACTGTAGATAAAATTATTTGCAGACTTTAATTAAGTTCTTTCACAATCTTCATTCTTGACTTCACAATATTTAAATTTAACAATCTCTTCTTCGATTGGAAACATTTCATCAAACATTTTGAGATCTCTCTAAAATATTCCCCAAAAGTACGACGTATCATCATATTTAATATTGAACGTTACCAGGGCACTTTATGATTACATTTTCATTAAATTACATCAACTTTTTCGGACCCGAATAAAAACGGTAATTTCAAGCAAAAAAGTTTTGATTATAGTTTAATGCGTTTTCCTGTGGTTAGCTTGGCCGAGTCTTAAACGGTAATGTAATAAGCCTGGCGATTTATGCGAGAAATTTTTATAATGCCATCAACCAGTTATATACTACATCGATATTATTTCGTTATTTCGTTGGGCGTCCGTGAAACAGCTAATTTCAGTGTGCGGCTGGAACGTGCTCGCATTATTCGTGCGATTAGCTGGTGAAAATGTTGCGAAAATGTTTATACACGGAAATTAACGGCGATTATTGTGGCGTAATTAAATTCAATATTAACTTTGTCCGTGTTTTGCAATAATCGACAACATTGCATAATGTGCTAATGCCCGAAGCCGATGAATAATTCCATAAAGCGTCTAGTGATGTGAATCAGACCATCCCCTAATTGCAACTGATAATGTAAATAATGTTATAGAATAAAATAAAATCAAATAAAATTTTCATACCGCGGTGTTGTACAAAACCTGTCAAATGAATGATGAACTGTCAAAAACTGATATATGCCAATCCACACGAGCATGAAATGTGAAACGACACATAATTTACTGTATCATTTGTAATTTCAATGTCACAACGCCTGAAAGCCGGAACGCGTTTGATTGACGATCGTATTTATTAACGAAATGGTAAATGGTAGGTAACCCATGATACAACACGAGCAACGTGAGTACGCACGCGCAAGAGAAACCGGCCGAACATAACCAGACTTGAATGAACCGCGCCTGGATTAAAATATTTGTTCGATCATCAATTGTAATGACAGTCGAGTGCTTTTAATGGGCATCCAGATAAAATTCCTGACTTTTAATTTGGTCAACATACAGATATGTATATAATCTCCTCACTATACATTTCTTCTACAAACTAGATTGTATAAAGTGGTAAGACGCGTTTCGTCTTTTAATTCGTCGGCTGCCGTTCATTACAAATCGTGATGTGAATTTTTATTTGTGTTATTTATGTTGCACCTGAATAGATGAGATGATGATATTGAATCGTGGTATGAAAAAAAAAACGCTGCGGCAACAATGAGTTCATTTTCAGAAAGAATAACTACCATGCCATTTGAAGCGGCGAGCGTTTCAACGAAGACATGAAAATAAGCCGAGGATAATAAATCCATAAACCCGACTCTGTATTAACCTAACAAAACACGTGCGTGGCGCAAAAAAATATGATCGGCGTGCAAAAAGAGCAGGCGAGTTGGGTTCGGTTGCTTCCTTTGAGCCGCTCGAGTTGAAGACCTTATTTAACGTCGATTTGACAGCACCG